AACTGCATAATGAGACCTTGTCTCCAAAAAAAGACAAAAAAAGAGCTACAAATTAAAATGTAAAAGGTAAATTTTCAGGAAGACATAATACATTTATATTTTTATTAGGTTATAAGTTATTAAAATCTGTTTTGGAGGATTTGAGTTTGGATTCTTACAGAAGGAAATAAAAAACACAAGGTATTTGGCTCCTGAAAAGGCTTAGATGAAAGAGGAAACCTTGGATGGGTAGGAGGAAAAGGAATGATTGTGATTTTTTCTTTTCAAGGCAATTGTAATGAATAGAATAGAACCAATCGAGAAAGAATAAATTCAAGAAAAATTAAATATTTTAAATTGTAGAATAATTAAATTCTATGTTGATTAGTCATGTCAAGGCTATAAAGTCAAATAAAACTTGAGGGCATCATTACTTTTGCAGAAGGAACTAACTAGATTTGGAGTAGCGTGAGGCAGACAGTTCTGGTCAGTATGATGTAGTGGCTAAGCACCATAGGAAAAAAAAGCAGCTTCAATGTGGATCAGACCTACTTTTTTTTCTATTTCTCTCAGATAGTACTAGCCAAAATTCTCTCATCAGACAACCTACCTAATATGTGGGTAGTAGATTAATAAACGCAATGTAGGTAGGCTTGGTGGAGGATTAACACAAACCTTCTGAGTTCGTTTATAATTTAAGTGAGCAAATGTAATTAACCATAATGAATATTTTTAATGAACAAATAGTTTCCTTTAATAAATTCAGTAATACCTCAGTTTGTGAGTGCTTCTGTAAAAGCATTAGGCGAAAGTTTGCTTCCATTCACAAACTCTGCACTTGGTGACAAACACGACCATGGCCATCTTTCCCAAAATCATCAAACAAATTAAGTTTGTAAACTGAGGTACCACTTTTTATTTTAGCTGATGGTAAGCTTGTGCTTATGTTATTGTATGTGTAAACAAAATATTTTTATGTAAGGTTTCACTAGATCACATGGATTCTTAGCCACCTGTAAGAGAGAAAGCAGACATGATTTGGTTCTTCAGCCTGCCAGTGTCCATCACAGTAGTCCATGTCTTCCGCGGGGCCTTCAGAAGGGAAGGGTATCGATTTCTAAGATGTTGCCAGCTGGCTGAGGGTTCTTGCTCAATTCATATAAAAATCACAACTTGGCAGGGTGTAGCATTTTTAATATGAACAGCGCTGGGCTTTGAATGCCAGTGGCTATCAGCTCTCTTAGTGTAGTAGCCTTCCTTGCTACTTGGGGCTCGCAGCTACTGGCAGGCCTTGGTATGTCTTTGGGCCACCAGAGATAGAGGCTCCCAGCAGTTCTTCATTGCTCTCCATTATTCTCCGGATGCTAACCACGTTCGGTGTTGTCAGCCCCAGCTGCTGGCTGCTTTTTAGCAGCTGATCATTCTCAGTCTTTGGTGTCACTAGCTCTTAGCATACCAGCTCAGCATGCTCTACCTGAGACAGTAATCATGAACGGACAAAAATATGTCACCCAAAAGAGGCTTTATTGAACTAAAGTTGCAGCATACAGGGAACAGTGCATGGACTGAGTCCAGGAAGAGTTTGGGGAGGTTGCTTATGAAGGAAAAAAGATGGGCTAGTGTACACTCAGTGTCAAACTTTCTGGTTATGGATGGGAGAGATGCCTGCTAATGTAATTGAGAAAGCAACAGAGGGGCGTAGTCATCCGGAGAGGCTGCAGGGTAAAGTCGTCTGGGACAGGTCCAGGTCGGAAGCTTGCCAAAGGCAAAGCAAATATCTCCCAAGGTACCCAGATTGGCTGGAAGGCCTTCAGGGCAGCCGTGGGAGAAAAGTAAAAGTATCTGCAGGGGAGCCTGGGTCTTTCTCTTCTGTTTCAGAAATGGTTGAATCTTTTAGATAGCTTTGTGTTCCTTTTCAACAAATCTAGTCAAATTGATAATCATGTTAGCAAGAAGCCAAGCATGAATTTATTTAAACTTAAATGTGACTGCCCAGCTGGCTGGCTTTCCCGCAGTACTCTATTTGTTGTACTCACATGGATGACAGAGTACAGTAAACAAAAAAGGGAGAGCAGCCAGTTTCGCATTTCTAGTGCTGTGTCAACAGAATTATTCTCTCTTTAAGTTTTTCGTCCAGTAACATAGCATATAATTATATACTAAGGTCAGTCAAAGAAATCAGGGTCATGTTTTATCCTTTTTAGAACCAGTCTGTGTTTGCCAAAATATTAACTTTACGGCTCTGGGAGAGTTTTATCGTCGCCTTAAACTTTACTGTTCTCTTTTGTAAAATGGACTTATTAACGGTGAGGATTAGGGATATGACAGTCAGGTACATAGCAAGTCACCAGTCAGGGTTAACTAACTTTTATTTGACTTCCTGGAAATACATTCATTTTACAATAAATCTCATAGCCGGGATTTGCCAGGAAGGCCTTCTGTCTCTCCTGGAGAGCTAAGTAGGAACTCCACCACTGTGGTCTTTCTCACACTGTCACTGTGATCGCTGGTGTACAAGCATCTCCTTCACTGGGCTGACAGGGGGACTGAGATTCCTTTATTAGACTCTGGGGTTTTTGTTTTGTTCTGTTTTTGTTTTCACTTGCTTTGGCAGAGGTAATGAATAGGTGCTTGTTTATTGAATAAACAATATTCAATTGTTTGGCTGGCTGAATGGTATGAGTCCTCTTGTAGGCCCAAAGAAGGGATTGGTAGCTTTTAATTTTCTCTTTTTGCTAAATGTTCTCCTACTTTTCTACAGTGTATCTAGGTGTAGATTGATTTCTCTTGTTGGACCTTTGACTATAATTTTTGATGTGAGGATTAAGTTATTTCCTGTAAAATTCTCAATATTTATCTCTCTGAATATTATTTTCTTGGCTATCACCTTAATTTCTTTTGAAACTTTTAGATGACTGTTGGGGTCTGTAGTTGTCTTTCATGACTTTTAAATAATCTTTTTAATCTTAGTACCTCTTTGTGCTGTATTTTGGAAGAAGTCCTTAGTACTATCCTGAAGCTATCAATTCTCTCTTCAGCTATTGGAGTATGGAGTTTATCTTGTATATAGAGAATATTTTGTTTTTTAATTTCAGTGACTAGAGTTTTCATACCTAGGATTTCTAATCAGGTCCTATAACATCCAACTATTCTTATTTCATTTCTGCCCACCTTTGCTTTTTTCATAATTTCATATTTCTTATTGTAGGTATGAGTCCTATATTAATTTCTCTTAATCATTTAATTATTTAAAAATCTTTTCAGATGATTTTAAAATCTGAGCGATATTGATACTATAGATCTTACAGAAACATTAATTTCATTTGCAGTTAATTTGTGTTGATTGATTTCATTGGCTGTCTTGCTTAGCATTATATATTTTTTAACAACTGTATTGTGGAGTTGAAATTTCAGGCTTATTTTGAGTGTTCTTCCCACAGCTGCCCATGGTCACTTTTTCCTTTAGATTAGATTTTCAGTTCTACCCAGCCCACCTTCCAGCCTCCAGTACAGGTCTTATAAGGGTGGCACAGGGCCCATGTCGTGCAGTAAAACTAGAGTGTCAAGAGTGTCACAGACCTAAGGACTGAGCAAGCAGGTGCCTTAGTTTAGCTCAGGTCTTAATGCCATATGAGCGTTCTTCTGCTTCTAGACCCACAACTACAAATAAGTTATAGTCTAGGAAACAGCTGCTCCCCCCCACCCCCGCCACCTTCTTTTATCCCCAGCTTTGTTTCAGAGCCCCCTAGCATCAAAGAGTAAAACAGGTTCTGGTTCCCTAACATCTGAGGAGCTAAACTCTTGGTTGCTAGGTCAAGGCCCCAGGAGCCCCAAGGCTTCACTCCCGCTTAGTGCTTTCTCATTTCTCATTTCTGCTTCATGGAGGTTTTCATTTTATTTTTGAGACTGCTGTTGTCTATTACTGCTGTGTGCTTGAAGCAGAGCAGAGTAGTATTTTGAAGCATGAATTTACTGTCAGTTTGACTTCAGGTTTTTAAACTTGATCAGATATTTTTGATATTTTGCCCCCCGTTCCTAGCTTCACCCATTCCCCTTGAAGGCACTGTGGAGGGTAGATGCGAAGAGAGATTAAAGATAAGTAAATAACAGCCTCCCCAGGCAATAAAGGGTCTTCATGGTCTTTACTAAGGGAGGTAGAGAGGGAGAGAATGGATTTAGAAGATACTTAGTGGACATAATCATTAGACTTAGAAAACCGAATCAGGGCAGTATATTTTCATATTTCTAATGTAGAGTGGAGATAACATTCACTGAGAAAAGAATACTGAAAGAGTAAATTTTGGTAGAGCAGTGGGTCAGGAATAGAAACAGGAATAGTAAGATGTTTTTATAAGTATTATTTGAAGGCTAATATATGTTTTTCTGACGCTGTTACTGTATGTGTCTTTCCTAGTGATGTATCTCAGTGCCCAGGAAATTTACCATATTTCCAAATCTCTTTATGTGATGTTCCATCATAAACTCACAAAGTTTCCTCCCTGGCATTTGGGAAGTATTTCCTCGGTACAGTCATTTATTTTGCAAACTTTTTGTGTCTCTCAGACAGATGTAGTTTTGTCATTCATGGAAGTTACAGTCTAATGGAGAAGTTCTTTTTTCTCCAGTGCACAATTGCAGACTATGGAAGTGCTATAGAAGGCAAGTGTAAAGTGCTGTGAGCGTCCGAAAGCAGGGCCTAGGTGAGTCGGAGGCCCAAGTCTGTGTTCAGGGCGTGTGGGAGGCGGTCGCTATCAGTGGGAGGCTTCCCTGGACAAGTGAATGCGGTAGTTCTGCAGCTGCTTGGCTCACTGCTCTTGTCTTTGCAAAACTGTCTTCTTCTTCCCGATCATATATTAATGATTTATTCTTAAAGTATATGAAAAGGAATATGTTTGCATCCAGTTTTTTATCTGCCTTAAGTTTTTTCACTTTGATCACATTTTTACCTCTTCTTAATATTTTAAGAATAAGTTATAGACTTGGCCAATATTTCCTTTTCTAAGAAAATTCATCTTTTTCAGGTTATTATATCCGGGAAAAGTCGAAGCAAGTTATAACGTTGCTGATGGATGAACAGCTGCTGTATAAAGAGAGGGAAGTGGCATGTCGGACTAGACGGCGTACCTCCTACTCCATGACGTTTCCCAAAAGAATACCTAGTACTGGTAACTCACCAACAGCGTGTGCTTCTGACCCCACACCAGAAATTCCTGCTTCAGAGAAGAAATATAAGCTTCTTAAGGTTGCCCGGCTACGTAATAAAGGTGTGTAAAATGTACTCTGGCCTAAAACACAATAAGTATCATTTAAGAACACTTAACACATTTAAGAACACGTAAAATATAACATGTTAGATTTTAGGATCAAATTATTAGTACCACATTAGTATTACTAGTAGATTAGACTTCATCCTGTAGAGAACAAAGAATAATATTCAGTAGAAAATTTTATGACTATTTTCAGGATGGAATTAATATTTTACTTATAAGTGGCATGTGAAAGAGTACAGTTTCCTGAGTGCAGGCATCTATTTATATGTACATGGGCACTATTTGATCCTACAAATCAGGAAATCGAAATTTTCTTAAATGTGTCTCAAAATTCTAAAATTGTTCCAGGACAATACTTTATACCTTTTTCTTTGCCTAAAACTTTAAATCTGAATTCCCTAAACTTTTAAAAAGGGTATTTATTTATAAGGTTATAATAGAAACCAACAGGAACATGAAATGATTTTTCAACCAGATTTGGTAAAACATTAGTGTCATTTTGCCCTGACTTCTCTAGCATAAATCCTATTAATAAGTTGTACATAAGGAATGAACAATTTGAGGAAGCAAAAACATGAAATATGACTTAAATATCCCTTGAATGGGATAACTTGAAATATCCCTTGAAACTTGGTGCCGTAAGTGAAGGGCACAACAAGTGGTGTGAGAAGTTGCTTCCTACCTTTATTTCCTTTTTTTTTTAGAGGGGGGGATCTTTGAGACAGGGTCTTGCTATGCAGTTCAGGCTGCCTTGAGCTCACCTTGCAGCCCAGGTTGGTCTCGAACTCACAATGATCCTCCTGCCTCAGCCTCCCGAGTGCTGGGATTACAGGCATGCGCCACCACGCCCAGCCCACCTTTATTTCCTATGTCTAATGTTATGGACTGAGTGTTTGTGTCATCCTAGAGTTCATGTGTTGAAGCCCTGATCTCCCATGTGATAGTATTTAGAGATGATTAAGTCATAGGGGTGGAACCCTTATGAATGAGGTTAGTGCCCTTATGAAAGAGACCCCAGAGAGCTTTCTCCTGTTTTGTTTCTGCCGTAAGAAGGTACAGTGAAAGTTGAGTAGTCTGTAGCCCCTAAGAGGGCCCTCACCGGAATCTGACCATGCTGGTGCCTGATATCAGACTTCCAGCCTCCAGAACTATAAAAAATAAATTTTTGTTGTTTATCCATCAGCCATTCTGTGGTTCTTTGGTGTTAGCACCCCAAGCAGACTAAGTATCTGTTAAACAAGAACCTAAAAGAGCTGAGCAAAGTATAGACAGCCCTTCCTAGTCCTCCTCATGGCCCAGGAAGTTTACATTTGTAATGCCATGAAAAGTTTTTGGAATTCTAGTGAGTTAATTCTAATCTACCACTTCCAGTGCAATCCATGGCAAAAATAAAAACACTAAGGCATATTGGTAGTTATGGGGAGCCAAGGGGTCCTAGGTCTAGCCATGACGATGGCTATCTGGAACAAAGGCTTCGACCCAAGGCCTAACGTGGGTTTTACTCGTTCATGAAGAAGGGAGCGGCTGGAGGATGAGTGACTGTGAGAACCGCGGGAAGCAGGCGAGTGCCCTGAGCCGGGCTAGGCAGGAGGCCTGAAATCACCTCTGCAAATGCAGGGAGAAGGATGTGCAGAAAAAGCAGTCTGCGTAACACAGTTGAGATACTATCTAATGTTTTGGGGTCAGTGCTTCAGCTCTGATGTGTAAGCTCTCAAACCTCAAGAAGTCATAGCCTGTATCTCAAGGCTCCATCCCAGCCGACAGCGTGGAGCACTGGCTCAACATCCTGCCTCATCCAAGGGAAGGCGGGTGGGGGACAGAGCCAGAGAAACACTGCCCACTGTCTTCAAAGACTACCATCAGCACCTGGGCTGGACTGATGTGCAGTGCTTAAAGCCAGTTGAAGGGATAAGCGAAGGGTCCTAGCCAGCTCTGTACATGCCAGTACATGGAAATAGGTCAGGCTCAGTTAAAATGGAGACAGTTGCTCCTCTTTCAAGGAGAGTCACACAGGTGGTCCTCCACACAAAGAGATACATGCCCATAATTCTAGCTATTCAGGAGATTGAGCCAGGGTGATTGCAAGCTCAGAGCTAGCCTGGGAAACTTAGCTAAGACCCTGTCTTAAAAGATAAAGGGCTGGGAATATAGCTCAGAGGTAGGGCTCTCACCTAGTATGCACAAGGCCCTGAGTTCCCCCTATAGTACTGGAGTGGGGTGGGGAATAAAAGAGCTACAGGTATTCAGTAAGAATGGCAAATATCAGTTAAGTGTGGAAATTTTAAAATATTTGTATTAACACCAGCCCAAGCCAGGCATGCTAAAAATCATGCAGGTACTCTGACTTGGTCAAGAATTCTTAAATGTTCATTCACTTTGTACTTGTAAGACATTAAAAGAGGTGGCCATTGTAATTGTAATAGTAAACATACCTGAATGCTTCTACAATTACTGGAGTCTCTACTTTTAGGGACCCATTTCTTTTGAAATAAGTCTCTAAAAGAAACAATTACACATTCAGAAAATTTCTCATGAAATCCTTGAGAATTCAGATTAATACTAAAAACCAAGTGTCTTGGTTACTTTTCTCTTATTGTTGAGACAAAATACCTGACACCCAAATTTAAGTATGGAAAGGTTTATTTACCTCACAGTTTGTGGAGGTTTCAGTCTGTATTCAGCTGGCTCCAAAGCAGGTTGGCATGGCACAGGGGCAAGAGTTCAAGGTGGCAGAAGACAGCCAAAGCAAGAAGAGGGAAACAAGCCTCTTTTCCTCCCTTATATTGTAAGCAGACTAGCCCATCCCAGGGTGCGTGTAGCGCTCACACCATCTCCATGCCCTCCTCTTGCACAGGATGAAGATGTTTACAAAGTGAGGATCCTGTGCTGGGCGTGGTGCCGCACGTCTATAATCCCAGCATTTGGGAAGCTGAGGCAGGAGGGTCCTTGCGAGTTCAAGACCAGCCTGGGCCACAAAGTGAGCTCAAGGCCAGCCTGAACTGCATAGCGAGACCCTGTCTTAAAAAAAAAAAAAGACAAAGTGAGGATCCTGGCTCCCTGATGAATCACTTAGTTAAACTTCTAAACTTCTCAAGTTGATACAATGAACATCATCCTAGAGCAATAAGGGTATGTCCTCTATACCCCCACATGTAGAACTGCTGAGTTACTTAGTTAAGCTTGTAGACTTCTCAAATTGACACAATGTATCAACTATAATACTGAGTAAAATAACATTATAACTCATCTAGCATTTCTTCATCCCTTTTGCTATTTCTCTGTTACTTTTATTGACCTTCTTTCCATTTCTTGACCCATCTTCTCCTCTCTCACTGTAAACACATGATTTGTTATCTGAAATTTGACTATACAGAGGTGGTGTGGAGTCTCAGCAGTGGGGGAAGTAAAGTTACTTTCTTTGCAGAACTAACATTTAGTGACAGAGATAGATATTAACCAAATAGGTATACAAATACGAAATACAAAGATGTAAAACATGTCAGATATGAATAAGTCCAACAAAAGGAGAAAGCAAGGTCAGGGACAAGAGCAACAGGGATGGCTTTATTTTACAGCGAGTAGCAAGGGAGGCGTTTTGGAAGAAATGACTGTTTAAGCAGACATTGGTGCAGTGAGGGGGCAGTTGTTCAGCAGGAGAGGGAACAGAGGGCACCTGCCCTGAGTGGGACAGACGTAGCACAGGGCATTCATTGTAAGCTTAGGAAATGAGCCCTAAATCCATTGAGAAGTAACTCATCTCTGAGCTGTTTTTATGAGTCATAGATGAAACTAGTTTATTGCTTTATCATCAGAGATCATGGAGCTTTTTCATCCAAAAATATTTTCCCCAGCTTGTGACACATCTTATTCACTAGCCTGAGCTCTAAATTACTTTTTTTAAGTGGGAGTATCTTTTTAAAAAAATTTTTATTAGTACGTGCATAATACAGAATGTGATGTTCATTTTGGGAAATTGTGCATGTATATAACATATTGATCACTTTCAATTCCTTTACCCCTCTCTCCTTTTCTTCTACCCCCTCCAATTCCCTTTCCTGTCTCTAAGAGTATCTTTTAGCTTCCTACCATCTCCTTTATTTTATTAATGAATTTATTTATATTTTCATTATTTCATATAAGAGAAAACACGTGATATTTAACTTTCTAACTCTGGCTTATTTTGTTTAGTATGATAGTCTCAAGATCCATTTTCCTACAAATAACATGATTTTATTTTTATTTTGGCCGAATAATATTCCATTGTATATATATATACACCACATTTTCTTTATCCATTCCTCTGTTGACAGGCATGTAGGCTGTTTCCAGAGTGTAGCTTTTGTGAAATGTGCTGCTGCTATAAACATGGGTATGCTTATATCATTATAGTATGATGTCATTAATTCCTTTGGAAATATACCCAAGAGAAACATAACTGGATCAAATGGAATTTCTATTTTCAGTTTTTTGAGGAATCTCCATACTGATTTCTGTACTGGTTGTACTGGTCTACATTCCCACCAAAATGTATTTTACCTCATTCCTTTCCCCTTATTTATTCATTTGTTTGTTTGTTTTTTTGATGATAACTATTCTGACGAGGGTTAGATGGAATCTCAAAGTTGTTTCTGAATGACTGTGTGTGTGTGTGTGTGTGTGTGTGTGTGTGTGTCTGTCTGTCTGTCTGTCTGTCTTCTTGAGACAGGGTTTCATTATGCAGTTCAGGCTAGCTGTAAAGCTCTCTTTGTAGCCCAGGCTGGCCTCAAACTGACAGCAGTCCTCCTGCCTCAGCTTCCCAAGTGCTGGGATTACAGGTATGTGCCAACACTGAATGACTTCTGACTACTTTTGATAAAAATCACAAGGTTTTATTACAATTTACTTAATACCACAAATACATATTGAGTACTACTTACTATCTGCCAGACACTATTCTAGACATGGTAAGCAAATCGAGTGTATTTCTGCTCCCTTAGAGGTTATATTGTAAGATG